CATGAGAATAGACATATAGATGAATGAAATAGAATTGAGTGTGCAGAAATAAACACTTGCATTTATGGTCAGTTGTTTCTGACAAGGGTGTCAAGACAACTCAATGGAGAAGAACAGTCTTTTCAACAAATGGTTGCTGAGCAACAGGACAGCCACATGCAAAAGGATGAAGTTGAACCCCTGCCTCAAACCACACACAAAAATTAACTCAAAATGGATCAAAGACCTAAATCTAAGAGATAAAACTATAAAATTCTTAGAAGAAAACATAGACATAAATCTTCATGACCTTGGTTTGGGCAAAGGTTTCTTAAGTATGACACTAAAAGCACAAGCAACACAAGAAAAATGGAAAAATTGGGCTTCACCAAAATTAAAACCTTGTGTTTTAAGGGACACCATCAAGAAAGTAAAAAGACAACCTTCAAAATGGGAAAAAATATTTGAAAATCATATATTTGATAAGGGACTGAAACCAGAATATATAAAGAATCTGTACAATTCAATAATAAAAAGACATATAACCCAATTTAAAAATGGAAAAAAGGCCCAAATATACATTTCTCCAAAGAAGCTATACAAATGGCCAATAAGCACATGAAAAGATGCTCAACATCATTAGCAATCAGGGAAATGCAAATCAAAACCACAATGAGACACTACTTCACACCTACTAGGATGGCAATAATAAAAAAGATAATAATAATAATAATGAGTATTGGTGAGGAGGTGGAGAAACTGGAATCTTCATACACTACTGGGGAGGTGGTAAAGTGGTGCAGCTGCTTTGGAAAATAATTTGACAGCTCCTCAAATTTTTAAATACAGGCTCACGAGTTAGTTCAGTTGGTTAGAGCACAGCCTTATAACACCAAGGTCACAGGTTTGGATCCTCTTACCAGCCAGCCACCAAAAAAAAAATTTAAATATGGAGTTACCATATGACTCAGTAATTCCACTGCTAGGTATATATTGAAGAGAGATAAAACCATAAGTCCACCCAAAGTTGTACACTCTTCCCTGGGGGTGGGGGGGTGGGTGAGATTCGGGGCAGGGAAAAAAGAAGAGAGTTGTGTACGGACAGAGAAAGTGCTCTTGGGGATAGCTC